AGACTAGCATACCTTCTACCATCGGGCATTTATCACGGATTACAACGAGCTATCTGGATCCTAAGGCAGCGAATGTTCTTCCTCTTTTGCCAACGCTTCCCCTCCTTCGCGACCTGGATCCTCAAGCGCGGCTTGGAAAAGGAACTCCCCAGCCACATCTCCTACGACCCCCATTTCAAGCCCCACTACAAGCCCTGGGACCAGCGAATGTGTGTCTGTCCTAATGGCGACTTCTTTGCCTGCCTGCGCAGTGGAAAGGCAGATGTCCACACCGACACCATCAAGACTGTCACGAAGAAGGGTGTCGCGCTCAATGGGGGCTTGACGCTTGACGCGGACATCATCGTCACAGCAACCGGGCTTAAGCTGCAGATCGGCGGCGGCATCAGGCTAAGCGTTGACAAGCAGAAGATCGACATCGGTTCCAAGTACCTGTGGAACGGGGTTATGTTGCAGGATCTTCCCAACGCGGCCTTCGTGATCGGATACACCAACGCTTCGTGGACACTGGGTGCCGACGCCATCGCGCAGTGCATCACCCGCATTCTCAAGATGCTCGAGTCGCGCAAGCTCGTCGCTGCCGTCCCGCGTGTCAAGGCTCAGGATGCCCATAATTTCCAAGACCGCCCCCTGCTGCAACTCAAGTCCACATACGTTAATGCCGGTGCCCGTGCTCTACCTCGCGCGGCAGATCGCGGTCCCTGGCAGCCGCGCGACCACTATGGTAAGGATATTCGTTTCGCCAGGAAGGGGAACCTTAATGAGGGGCTCGAGTTTGTGCCAGGCTCCAGTCTGCGTTTGCGAGAAAAGCTGAGTTGAGTTTTGCGTCTTTGAAATTAAAGCAATGATGCCTGCTGCGGTCCTTACGAAAATGCTTGGAGCCCTAGTGCTAGGAGTACTTTGTTGGTAGTAGTTAGCCTGCGGCATATCCGCATCCACACTAGCACAGACATCACAATGCCCTCCTCCTATTGTCATAAAGGCCCATGACCGGTTTATTGTCCAAAAAGAAAATCGAAATGATCTCTAGAAACAATTTTCGATTATCAGCGCCCCAGACCGAAGTATTTCTAAGACGACCCCCCAAAAACAAAATCTTAAAGAAGTAAAAACATTGTATGGAAGCATAGCATGAGCAGCATCTTCCAATATAACTAGTTTCTCTATGGTCCAACGTATTAGTAAAACCCCGCTCAGGAAGATCCATTTAACAGTTCTCCTCGATCATGCCCAGGATTTTAGTAAGCACAATCAGAATAAGCATTGCAAATAGCCAACTGCAGTGAAGACCACCCCCTGGAATATCGCCCTCATGCCTTGGGAGTGCTGATTCTGCGTTTCCACTTCGCGGGGGTCCGATACATCAAATAGGGCAAAGCCATGTTCAATACTCTCCCGGAGCCGACTGTGCCCGTCATAACATGCCTAGAGTCTCCTATCCTAGTCCATTATCAGGGCGGTTATGATATACGATGCTAGCGCTTAATTCCACCCTGGTCGTTCCAGAATATGTGACAATTTGGAATCGCTCTTTATCTTATCCATGTTGACAACTGCACAATAGGCAGCGATTCCAGACATTCCCAAGGGATGTCCTGCCCTCTCAGCACGACTCTTCGAGCTGTGGATTTAATATAAGTAGTGGGTGTCGGGAAATCGGCAATTTAAATATTGCATGGGGCGACACAACCTCTTATGATCCATGCATAATTAATCGTGCGTATATTCCTAATATAATTGGTCTCTGTTAGGCTCTTTCGCGTGTAAAATTTGTTCTTGCCGGACACTACGAAGCGGGGGCCAGCCAAGACTAACGACTAGTTTAATCTTGTATAGACCAATCGCTCAACGACCCAATTGCACGTGTGGAAGCTTGACTGCCTCGTGCATTGCTTATCAGCAACATACGAATGCAGCTGTGTAAGTATGCAGCTCACTTATAAAAAGCCCAGCCAGCTGGCCGTTTGCTATGGGGGGGGACACGGCTTCAATTCTTTCTCATAATGAAGGCAACCACTGCTTCCGTCTTGCTGGCCCTGTCGAGCGCCGTCAATGGCCGCCCTACAGTTGATGATCGCTTTCCCTACAAGGGTCCCGCGGTTCCTGTAGGTGACTGGGTCGATCCCACAATCAACGGCAATGGCAAAGGTTTCACCCGACTCGTGGAGCCTCCAGCCGTGAAGCCTGCGTCGTCACACCCGACTAACAATGTCAATGTGATCTCACTGTCGTATATCCCCGATGGTATTCACATTCACTACCAGACGCCCTTTGGACTGGGACAATCGCCCGCAGTGAAATGGGGCACTAGCCCACAGCACTTGGTCAACGTTGCGCGAGGGTTTTCTCACACGTGAGTAGCTCCAAGACTTCAATTGAGACACGGTTGTATACTGATAGATATTAGCTACGACCGTACTCCCTCCTGCTCGCAGATGAAGGCTGTCACGCAGTGTAGTCAGTTCTTCCATGAGGTTTCTCTGCCTCATCTGGAGTCGGGTAAGACCTACTACTACCAGATCCCCGCCGCAAATGGCACAACCGAGTCCGAGGTGTTGAGCTTCACAACCGCCCGGAAGGCCGGTGACCCTACCGAGTTCTCAGTGGCCGTTTTGAACGATATGGGTTACACCAACGCGCAGGGTACCCACAAGTACCTAACCAAGGCTGCCAGCGAGGCCGCCTTTGCCTGGCACGGCGGTGATATCAGTTACGCAGATGACTGGTCTTCTGGTATCATGGCCTGTGAGGATTCCTGGCCTGTCTGCTACAACGGCTCTAGCACCTCGCTTCCCGGTGGTGTGGTCACCTCGGAGTACAAGAAGCCTCTTCCTAAGGGAGAAATTCCTAACCAAGGTGGACCCCAGGGTGGTGACATGAGTGTCATTTACGAGTCCAACTGGGATCTCTGGCAGCAGTGGATGGGCAATATCACGAAGAAGATTCCTTACATGGTTCTTCCCGGTAACCACGAGGCTGCTTGTGCTGAATTTGATGGCCCCCATAACGTCCTCTCGGCCTATCTGGATCACAATGAGCCAAACAGCACCTGGACCAAGAATGACCTCAACTACTATAGCTGCCCTTCTTCCCAGCGGTAAGTTCCTAATCAACCCACACTCGTCCCCTATCCCCATACTGATCCCGTTGCCCCATAGAAACTTCACGGCTTTCCAGCACCGCTTCCGCATGCCCGGCTCCGAGAGCGGTGGTGTGACGAACTTCTGGTACTCCTTCGACTATGGCCTCGCCCACTTCGTCTCCATGGACGGAGAAACCGACTATGCCAATAGCCCCGAGTGGTCCTTCGCCGAAGATCTCACCGGCGACGAGACCTTCCCCACCGAGTCCGAGACATTCCTCACCGACAGTGGCCCCTTCGGAGCTGTCGACGGCAGCGTCAAGGACACAAAGGCCTATGAGCAGTACAAGTGGTTGAAGAAGGACCTCTCGAGCGTAGACCGCACCAAGACCCCCTGGGTAATTGTCATGAGTCACCGCCCCATGTACAGCTCTGCGTACTCGGCCTACCAGAAGAATATCCGGGAAGCATTTGAAGCTCTTTTCCTTCAGTATGGCGTCGATGCTTACCTCTCCGGTCATATCCATTGGTATGAGCGCCTGTGGCCGCTTGGTGCGAACGGCACCATCGATACTGCCTCCGTGCTGAACAAGAATACTTACCGGGTCAACCCTGGCAAGTCCATGACTCATATTGTTAATGGCATGGCGGGTAATATTGAGAGTCATAGTGAGTTTAGTGCTGGCCAGGGCCTCACGAATATCACTGCGGTTCTTAATACCAAGGAGTATGGTTTCAGCAAACTTACTGTTGCTAATGCTACTGCTCTGAAATGGGAATACGTTAAGGGCAGTGATGGCTCGGCTGGGGATACACTTTGGTTGGTTAAGCCTGAGGCTGCTGGTTCCCACGGTCATGGAAAGAGCCCTTTTGCGAAGAAGCCTCGCTACTAGATGATCTCGGGGCATTATAATGGCCCTTGTATCTCGATCTTTTGTGCACATAACTTGATCTGCGTTCCTGTGACAGTGACCTATACCTGTACAGGGAGAACGTATGTAATATACTCAAAATAGAAGTGAAAGATATATGAACTTGATCTTGATGAAGCAGCTGAATGCGAGGTACTTGTATCTATACTTGACTCCGTTTCTTAGATAGGTTTTTGAGGAGTGTGATGGACGTTAGGATGGGCCCTTGGATTGAACCTTTATGGTATATTCATTGTCGGGTTTCAATGTCAGTTAGTGTGGACGCGTTTACCCCAATAACTTTAAAAGGGAGTTTGTGTAGTATTGTTTCTGTCCGTCTAGATATGGTTTTTAGGGTACATTGGTGGTAATGGTGGTGGTAGATAGTAGAAAGACTAGTACAATTTGTATATTGACATCATAAAGTATTCTCACTTAAATCGTCAAATACATGAGTCCACAGTTACTGACCTAGCTATGTTTCTGCAATGCACAAGCCTTATCCCACGTATCATAGAATAACTTTGGACCAACAAGTGCCGAATTCAGCTGTGATTGAACAAGGCTGAACTTGGCAGGTACTACTAATTAATACATACGTGGGCCACATGGGAGGCCTTAGTGGGGTCCAAGCTAAAAAAAAATACGAGGTTCTTATCGGCCTGATTTATCCGTACATATTTAGATGGAAGTAATTGTGGTATGTCCGAAAACATCAAGCATATATGTAGGCGTTTCCTAACGGGGGAAGCTGTTGGACACACTGCATTATTTCTTATCCTCGCCCTGGTCATTATAGCCCTATCTCTCATCTACCTTTTAATTCTTGAATCAAGTGGAACTTCTAGTTTTCTAATCGACCACCCCTATCTTTGGTCATTTTTGATTATTCCACAGTTTATATCCAGTTTACTCCCTTAATCCAACTATAAGAAATTTATACAATATCACAACAAACTCCCAATCCACCAAAAAAACCAACAACAACAACAACAACAACAACAACCATGGCCCTAGACCCCCTCTACCACACCCTCTACAACCTCCCCCCACCATCCCCCAAACGCACTCAACCAATGCAAGTCCTAGCCGTAGGAATCTCCCGCTCCGGAACCGAATCCCTCCGCGAAGCCCTGCACATCCTAGGCATAAAACACACCCACCACGGCTTCGACACCATCCTTCCACCCTCCTCATTACAAGCCACCTACCGCCTCCTCCAAAAGAAATACACCGGTACCCCCTCACCCCTCACAGCCTCGGATTTCGACACCGTCCTCGGCAACTGCGTCGGCGTAACAGACCTCATCGCCGCGGAATTCGCCCCGGAACTTATCGCCGCATATCCAGAGGCCAAAGTCATCCTCAATACCCGTCGTGACCTCGACGGCTGGTATAAAAGTATGCAGCTGACTATGGGGTACTTTGATCGGAATCCGGTGGATTGGGATTGGTGTAAGAGTTGGTTTTGTGCGGAGCTGTTTTGGATTCGGCAATGTATGTGTCGGACCATGATGAAGAGGTTCTTTCGGGGAAGCTTTGAATCGAATGGGAGGTGGGTTTATGTGAGTCACGTTGCGCTGATTCGGGGGTTGGGGCTGGCGGAGGAGAGGCTTTTGGAGTGGAGTGTTGAGGATGGCTGGGAGCCGCTTTGTAGGTTTCTGGGAAAGGAGGTTCCGGAAGGTGTGGAGTTTCCCAGTGGGAATCCGCCGAAGGCTTGGGCGGAGAGGATTGCGAGGACGATGGAGGTGCATCATCGACGGGCGGTTAGGAATATGATCGTGTTTTTTGCCGTGGTGGGGGTTGGTTTGGGGGTTTGGGGGGCTTGGCTGTTTTATTAGAGGGTTTTGTATATCATGGTGTTTTGAGGCTTCGGTGATGTATATATCCTGACTTGGAATATTTGAGTTGAGGGATATAAGGATATAGGCCTCCTCGTTAAGCACTCTAGTCGTAGATTGAAAATAGGTCTGCTAGAAATCAGCTACTCAATTAAAAGAACCACCCACATAAGTACAGGGTCTAGATAACGCAATCATTGCCACCCCATGCCATAATCTATATCCTATCTCATTATCCTGCTTACTGGCAACTCGTCGTGAAGATCGTATTTGGCGAAATCAAGGTACAGGTCCCTTCAGCGGCTTCTGGCCGTAGACACTCACGCTATATACAATATAACGAAGACTGTCAGCTGCCGATCCCATCTGCCAACTTTCCATATCAAACCAAGGCGTGGACTTACACGTAGAAATAGGCATGGATCTTAGAATAGTCGCGCAATCCTTTCCTCATCTTGGCCAAGAATACCTGCACTTCCTCATAGCTCCACTGTTTACGATGTCGTTAGTATCGTGCGCATAGATCAAACTGTCCCGTAAGCTAAGCAAAGCTAAGAAATAAGGCCTTACCCCCATCACACGAGTGAGCAATGCCATGGACCATCCTTCGATACCCTGCTCGCAATGCAGCAAATTCCACCTCCCCAACTGTCGGTAGTGCTCGTCCCTGCTCCAAGGACCAACAGGGAGCTTGAATCGCCGCTCGGTTACATTCTCAAATCCGGCATCGATCATGTGTTGGCGGGCTAAGTCGGCGATGCGAAACGTTTTGCCGAATCTCTCTCCTGCGTCGATGAATAGACGTGACCACTCTGCCAGGACGTGTTCGGGGGTCACAGTGCCGTCATCCGATCTGAACTGGATTGACATCTCTAGTTGGTCGAACCATGCGCCGGGCCGTAGACCGCTGTAGCAATTAGAAATTGTCTATTATGATAGAGCTAACGAGTATGATGTTTAACAGGGAGCTCTAGTGCAACCTACATCAACATGTTGCGATAGAACGCAGGCCAGTTGGAAATCGCCCCGTAGAGTGCACGCACGTGGATTAAATCGAAATGGTTCTCAGGGTATGCCCATGAATCTTCTGCGTCGTCGATCTCGAATTGCACGTTTGGCGGGACAAAGCTGGGTTGAGTTGGTGATAGGTCAGTCCCAATGACCTCTGCGGAGGGGTATTCATCCGCAAAGTCACTGGACACACGTTAGCAATCATGAATGGTCAGTCTATATTGGTTTGTACCAACATAGCCCATATCCCCGTTCCAGTACCGACGTCGAGCACTCTCTGTTGCATTTCAGTCAGCCACACTCCCAGTCGATGTAATTAGACCTTACCTGGACATCATCTGAGATAGGGGCAAGACACAGCCTGTTTCCGAGAAGCATTGTGAACATATGATGACTACAGTCTGAGGTTAGAATATTTGAATGCTTGTTGCACCTCGCCTCGGGTACGTACGCTATGTCGAGTTGTTCGTTCTGGGTCTCATCGTTGGGGCCCCTGATCATCTTAGCCATCCGCATCCTCGGTAGAAAGTCGCGCGATTATAGTACCAGTAAGCACCGTCCTTGTAAGCATGATATCGTCTCCCATTTTCAAAGCGATAAGCGGTGATCGCTGAATTGATCGAGGTGGTGTCGCTCGCGCTAAGAAGGTTAATATCAGGGAGGGCGACATATATCATGGAGGTCATAGCTCACAACTCCTCGTAATAATCAGAATAATCTGTGCCATCATCCAGCTCTCCCTGCACTGGTCAGCCCCGCGGTTTCCGAGAAAGAAGGAGGGGATAACGAGAAGGGGGAGACTGACCGCCTGCTCGTCATTGTCCTCTGCGTTTCCCTCCCTCGGCGGGGATTCCGAGTCCGACCGTGGCGATTTTTGGCGTCTTGCAGCTCCCATGGTGAAATGGTTTGACAGTTACTCCACATCACTGGCGAGAACCGGGAATCTTGATTGTTTTCAACTTCCAGCGTAAGCTCCACTCCGAATGAGAATCCCCCCCCCCCACTTAAGGTTTAGTCCCAGGCACCGTGCGCCGCCATTGATCGAACCAATGATGCTTCGATACGAAGGCTAATGCTCCACTTATCCGCCACTATCCAGGTGAAGAGTGGAGTCCTCGGGCATGGAGTATTGGCTGTACTGCCCTCTTTTGGAGGTGCCGCCGTGCCGGTGCACTTTGGGGAATGCCCAAGAGAGCAAGGATGTCTTTCTGAAGAGTCTGCACCGTACTCCGTAGCCTGATACAGTTTCGAGTACCCACAGTCATGCACGCGATCCAGCAATAAGATTGTCGCACCCGAAGGTCAGGAGCACCTTGCAGCACTAGTCCTTTTAATTGCGTGGTTGTGAGTAATGAATGCGACATTGTTAGTAGTATTTTGCCAGTGAACGCATCCAAGGCAAAGGTAAACCTTATGCAGCCGATCGTTGGCTATTGTCACCCATTTTTCCTAGTCGACGTTGCAGAAACGGTGTGGAGGCCTTATGGAATGGTACACCGTACAACGCAAGGGCAGAACATTCAACAAACGAGATAACCCATCCAGTCAATCCGGCACTGGTCTGACGGCCATAACCCCCACCTCGGCAAAATTCAACGACCCATTCGACTAACTGAACTCGGTTTTTCAGAAAGACGCGATTGCAGATTTCGGAGATGGTTTCCAGCTGTGGGGGCCGCTAGCTTAGGGAGTTATCGAATGGCAAAGTTGCAACGGGATCTGAGGGATTTACTGAATTGCCGTGTGGCTCTCCAACGTCCAGAGTGCGGACAGCATGTGGAGGTAGTAGTAGGAGTACGGAGTATGCTAGAGGAGGAGTAGTAAGTTGGACTAACTGGGTCACGTTACGCCATACATGCCATGTACGATCCGTGTCAAGTTTAGATATATTTTATGTCTATCCTTATCAATATGAGAAACAACCGGAAAATCGTCATACAAATAATCATTTCGTTAGCACTGGTATCCGACATCTATCCGAATAATCATCAATCATAGCACACGTCTGAGTGAGTCTCGAGGATCTATACATGGATCGATCTATGTCCAAGGCTCGCAAGTTGCTGGAATCAATCACCCTCTGGGCAGCTTAGTCTTCATGAGTGACGGCCATATCCAGCACTTCTACTCGTCCTCTGCCCCGAGTGTCGTTGCCCACAAATTCATTTAGTCCTTTGAACGCGCCTGGTTCGGCAAAACCAACAACCTCCCACTCGTCGCCTGCAATTTCTTGCGACTCAACTGACTCGATGAAGCTCAAAATCTTGTCCTTGACATTAGTCGGTACCTTTGGCTGCGAGGGTTCGGTGTCAGAGCCACCCTCTGCATCGGAATCTTGTTGACGTGCAGACTTCTTCGATCCTTTGCCGCCTTTCTTGTTGGATTTGGAGTTACCACCCGACGAAGCTTCCTTCTCTTTGTTCGAGCCCGCTGGTGCTGCAGACTTGACGCTTTGCTTCAAAAGCGGCACAGGGCAGGTCACGCGGAGGCGCATCCGTGCTCGCATCACTGGAATGGGTTGCCATGCAATGAGTGCCTTCATAGCTTCGAGGGCTTGTATTTTCGCCGACTTGTTAGGCGTGACACCAGTCCAGAGTGGCTTCCGAGGTTGCGCCGGGCGAGACTCATCTCCAGCACCACCTGCTTCCCCATTATTGTTCTGACTCTGCGCTTGTTGCATCTGTCCACTCGCTGAACTGAGTTGATCCAACGCCTTAGAGATCATTCCCGGTGTGTAGACTCGCTTAGTGGTTGGGTCAACAAGCCTGCCCGATACAATATCCAACACCTCCTTCTCAACTCGCTCAATGATCTCCTTTCGCTCGCGCTCTCCAACTTGCACTTCACCTTTCCGTAGGATCTCCTGTCGAATCTCGTCTGCGGGAGTGCTGGCACCGAACGCTTTCGCTATCTCCGCAGATGGAGCGGTTTGTGCTTTCGAAACGGAAAGGAAAATGGTAGGCACTTGTAGGACATTATCAAGATCTTTCTCGGCACCGGAGCGGTATTCTAAAAGTTTGTTCTTATAGCAGGCGAGTTCAAATCGCTTTTTGCCTGATGAAAAAATTATGTTAGCGGGGTTGCGGGGTTGATCTTGTGAGTTCTAATTTTCTTATTTCTTTGTTTTACTCCTTCTTTCTCTTTTCAACAATAGTCTTCGCAAACACGTATATTGATAAAATCAAATGCCGGAACGGAGGGAGTATTTACGGACCTTTTTTCAACCTCACCACTGATACATTGGTGAATTTAATCTGATTACTGGGTTGCATAATCGGCATCTTGGCAGATGTGTCTTCCCAGAAGACGTAGAATGCGTATATTGATAGAAAAACAAGAAGAATAAAACAAGAAGGTAAATTAACAAGGCGTATGGGTATCTTTCAAGCTGTTGATGCAGTGAAGAAATTATGTCAACTTTTTTCCAGAAGCCAAACTGGATCTTTTTCCGATAGTCTTGTGATTGGCGGAGAGGACAATGACGCGGGTCTCGTGATTACATGAGTCAGCGACATGTAGATACGGCTGACTCAGCGCGTGCCTTCTGTTTCCCCGGAGGTCCCCTCTCGCGTGATTGGCTGCCCTGGGGACTGCTATCGGCGTCATCGGCGCCTGCCATCGTTCCCCAACCAACCTAGGTTCACCTCCTCTTTCTCCCCATCTCCTTCTTCTCTGACCTCTTATCACCCGTGGCTGGTTCTTCATCAGCTACTTAAGTTATTCTGTTAGATCTGTTTCTCCAGTATGTTCCAATCCCTACCCTATCTCCTAGCTACCCTCCCCCCATTAACAGCGTGATACTGATAAGCTACTTCCCTAAACCGCAAGGTACCCTCTTATCGCCATCTCGCTCTTCCATCAGAAACGCCCCCTTGTTACATCTCTTTGCAGTCCAAGTAATTCAAAATGAGAGTATTACCAGCTACTTTGCTGGTGGGAGCTGCCTCCGCGGCCGTTCCGCCTCTCCAGCAGGTGCTGGGTCGGCCTGAGGAGGGCATGAGCTTCTCCAAGCCACTCCATGCCTTCCAAGAGCAGCTGAAGACTCTCTCAGAGGACGCTCGTAAGCTCTGGGATGAAGTTGCCAACTACTTCCCGGACAGCATGGACCACAGCCCGGTCTTCTCTCTTCCTAAGAAGCACACCCGTCGTCCGGACTCTCATTGGGACCACATTGTCCGTGGTTCTGATGTCCAGAAGATCTGGGTGAACAATGCCGACGGAGAGAAGGAGAGAGAGATCGACGGAAAGCTCGAGGCTTACGATCTCAGAGTCAAGAAGACTGATCCGAGCGCTCTCGGTATTGACCCGAATGTGAAGCAGTACACTGGCTATCTAGACGATAATGAGAATGACAAGCATTTGTTCTACTGTGAGTTCCCTTGACCGCCATTTGGTTATTTGTTTGATACTAATTTGCGAAGGGTTCTTTGAATCTCGCAATGATCCTAAGAACGACCCTGTCGTGCTCTGGCTGAATGGTGGCCCCGGCTGCTCTTCCCTCACTGGTCTATTCATGGAGCTGGGACCTAGCAGCATTGATGAGAACATTAAGCCCGTCTACAATGACTTCTCGTGGAACTCTAACGCCTCCGTCATTTTCCTTGATCAGCCCGTGAACGTCGGCTACTCCTACAGTGGCTCCGCTGTCAGTGACACTGTTGCTGCTGGCAAGGATGTCTACGCTCTGCTCTCTCTTTTCTTCAAACAATTCCCCGAATACGCGAAGCAGGACTTCCATATTGCCGGCGAGTCCTATGCCGGACATTACATCCCGGTCTTTGCATCCGAGATCTTGGCTCACAAGAACCGTAACATCAATCTCAGGTCCGTCCTCATTGGCAACGGTCTCACGGATGGCCTCACTCAGTACGAGTACTACCGCCCTATGGGATGTGGTGAAGGTGGCTACAAGGCCGTCCTTGATAAGAGCACCTGCCAATCTATGGACAATGCCCTGCCCCGTTGCCAGTCCATGATTGAGTCTTGCTATAACTCTGAGAGCGCCTGGGTCTGTGTCCCTGCCTCGATTTACTGCAACAATGCTCTGATCGGGCCTTACCAGCGCACTGGACAGAACGTCTATGATGTTCGCAGCAAGTGTGAGGACGAAAGCAACCTGTGCTACAAGGGCATGGGCTACGTGAGTGACTATCTCAACAAGGCTGAGGTTCGCGAGGCCGTCGGAGCCGAAGTTGGAGGTTATGACTCGTGCAACTTCGACATCAACCGCAACTTCCTCTTCCACGGTGATTGGATGAAGCCATACCACCGTCTCGTTCCCGGCCTTCTCGAGCAGATTCCTGTCCTCATCTACGCTGGTGATGCCGACTACATCTGCAACTGGCTCGGCAACAAGGCCTGGACGGAGGCTCTTAAATGGCCTGGCCAGAAGGAGTACGCCTCGGCCGAGTTGGAGGACCTGAAGATTGAACAGAACGAACACACCGGCAAGAAGATCGGTCAGGTTAAGTCCCATGGAAACTTCACCTTCATGCGTCTCTACGGTGGAGGTCACATGGTTCCCATGGACCAGCCCGAGGCTAGCCTCGAATTCTTCAACCGCTGGTTGGGTGGTGAATGGTTCTAAACTGGAACAAGACACGTCTGGATGTGTCTTGGTGATATAATACTGGCCCAGGAACTGTCTCCCAGAATATGTTTCGATGCGTAATGTGCTTCAATTTCTTATGTACTGTGATGTTTGTACATCAATATTCATGGTCGCGTCGTGCTATGAAGACCTAGATATATATAGGGCAAGGACTCGACGACTAGAATACAGACCCTTTCCATAGAATAATCGCACGTCTGTTTTATTTATTAGATAGTAAAATAGTCCGTAGTTGACTATACATTTAATGGGGAAAAAACAATTGTGGTAGATCGTACGGCGGCTTGGTATTCGTACATCCTTCCTCAAGGGTACTACTTAATAGTTGCATACTCCGTATAGAAAAGATAAGAGTAACGATGTCCTTACCATAAGAGAGGAACGATTCCACTGATGAGCAGTCTCCGCAGATCCTCCAATATTACATACTCCTCTGGAGATTTTATATTCAAAGCATACGACAGGCCATTGACAAGAGCCCTACAGGCGAGGGGAGGCATGAGGGAAACGGCTCTAGCAATAGAAGCGAGTCTAGTCCTGGCAGACCCCTTCTAGAACGAGAAAATGAAGATTTTATGTTTCATGTCATATTGGTATGATTGTTTCATTTTTCGACCCGTGCCAATTTTTATATTTAACACCAGATCATGTGCAGGTCCCACGAGAATTCGTTAAAACACACCAACATACAAAAAGGAATTCCCCCATTCCCACCAGCAAGTACGAAGGAAAAAACACAGCATAGTGACCCTCTCGTATGGCTTAGCCCTTCTTCTTGCTGACACCGACGGTGCGGCCACGGCGACCGGTAGTCTTGGTGTGCTGACCACGGACACGGAGACCCCAGTAGTGACGGAGACCGCGGTGGGAGCGGATCTTCTTCAGGCGCTCGAGATCCTCACGCATCTTGCTGTCCAAGTTGTTGGAGACGACCTGGGAGTCCTTGCCATCGGTGATGTCGCGCTGTCTGTTCAGGAACCAGGTGGGGATCTTGTACTGGGTAGGGTTCTGGAGGATGGTGACGACACGCTCAAGCTCTTCGGTGGTAAGCTCACCGGCGCTGTAGAGAAACCTGTTAATTATATTGTCCTGTATTTTCGGTCTTGATCCACTTGATCCTGGTAACCACTTCTCTTCCTCCTCTTGATAATCATTGCCCCCCATTCCCAAGGTATCTGATGATGGGGGGGAAATAGGACCGGAGAACGTACCGCTTGTTGAGGTCAACATCGGCCTTCTTGCAGACCAAGTTGGAGTAACGGCGACCGACACCCTTGATCTGGGTCAGGGCGTACATAACCTTCTGCTTGCCGTCAACATTGGTGTTGAGCAGACGCAAAATGTACTGGAAGTTCGTCTTCTCGCCGGACACGAGCGCTGTAGGTCAGAAAATCACAGTCAGCCTTTTTTTTCTTCACTCTCCGTTGTATTTCCAACAATGCCGTCATTTCATTATCATCATCCCCTTCCATCTCTTGTCGATAACTCTCACGCAAAGTTGCAACCCGTTTCTTTCATCGGGGAAAAATGACGGAACAAGACACCAGGAATTTTGCAAATCAAAAGCAGCTCGGGATCAGGAGTAGAACGTACACATGATGGGCGGTTGGCGCGACGGGATCGCGATTGATTGTCGACAGCGAGAGGGGTGAGAAGGAGGTGAAATCGATAGCCCGACTTTGCTTTGGACTTTGCTTCGGCTCCCGTTGTGGGATCGGGTAATCACGCTAGACTATTTTGGGCATTTGTGCGCTCGCTTACTCTGTTAGCGCTAGTCTTGGAATAGCTAGACTTTCGTTTTGGGACATGGCTCATGTGACTATGGTGTAATATTACGGTTATTGGTGTATGGTAATATTACGCTTATCGACTGCTTTTCCCTTGCTCTCTCCATATTCTCTGCTTATCAGTCACGGTTGCTCCATTCTGTAGTCTCCGCAATGAGGACATTTTGGAACGATCTCTATGCGCGTATGCTAATGCTTTATCTTGCTCAGCCTTGGTATATTTGATAAGACACTAATTCTAGTGAATGTTCTTATCTATGTTGTCGTGCTTTACCATGTCTCGCATCTCTATGCGTTTGCTCTTTAGGAAAAGAGCATATACAGGATGCTCTCCATTCACTCAGTCATCCTACACTGGGATATGCCACCTATATGCCATACTACTGCATTTACTTACCCCTTGGCTGATTTGGCTAACCACAAAACTGCTCAAAATAGCCATAGATATCTGTTGTCCTGGCTTCAGAGAGAACAGCTCAACCCCATAGCAAATAAACAGACTTGGGTATCATCGCTGTTGGGGCAACCAAATTGCTATGCATACCTTCATGGCTGGCTCTAATTGCTTCAAGATGACTCTCGACATGGTCTATGTATAAGCATCCGTCAAACATTGGATGCCACTAAACAAAGATGGCACAATCTCTTTATGCCTTTGTCATGGGATGAATGCCCTTGTTTCGCTTTCAAATAATCTTAATTGACCTTATTTGCTCTTTGTTCTTACGCCTTATATATATGGTATACTAAACAATCTTGTATGGACCATGGTCGTCTTAAAGATATCCCAGGGTATCATGATCCCCTTGTTTGCAGAAGATGCTTATCTTTTGAGACTCCTCGACTTTATCTACCGTTTTGTTCCATGGAATAGCTGGTTGATATCATTCATGCCTGGAAGACAAGCTGTATGGCATACTGCTATTTCACACGGACTACCCTTACTGAGTTTCCCTGGCCCGCTCACTCAGTTCTATCCTTTTCGAAGCGCAGCTAACCTTAACAATATACCATGTCGTCAGAAAACAGTGACACTAGGACAGTGAAGGAGGAGGATGATTTTAAATATAACCCTGAGCTCAACTACCTCATGGTCAAGCTGGCTGACCTACCCGAGCCCCCCAAGAATTGGCGAGTCTGTGGGCGAACGGCAGAGGAAGCTTCCAAAGCTCGAAAAGCAACCAGCGAGGAAGCTAAAAAGTGGGTAAGATACCACAGTTGGGGTATCGACATGGGAGTGAAGGGCGACTTAACCAATCTCAGGTGCTTCAAGGTTCTGTGGAAGCTCTTCTACTACCAGCAGGACAAACATAGACCTCAAGATTTCGACCAGATAAAGGACTTTAAGACGAGAGATGCTGGCCCTCGGCTGTTGCAATGTTCGGTGGATGTCCCTGACCTCCTTCCCATTAGCAGATACTATCCTCATCCACCCCCTGCCACCAGGCTTCCGGCGGAAGGGTTCCACAGGCCCCTCGATGCTCTAGCGAGCAGGCCAGATAGTCACATAGAACAGATGTTATATCCGGTCTTTGGAGTACCGAAGGAAGTCAACAATTCTCCTGAAGAGATCGAGACAACTACGGCTCAGACCACAGGCAATGGCACAGGCAACAGAAACCAACACAAGATACGTCTCCCTAAAGTCATGGCCCGATCTGTTATGGAGGCCATTGAACGCGCTGTGATGCAATTTGCCTATGAAGATCTCGCTCGAGATTACAGTGCTGTTGCTCAGGATGGTCAGGTACACCTGACTGCGACGGCGGAAGAAGACCTACGGCAAGCCAATATCGGATCCTTTCCCGCAACATCTCACGTGAAACTTGCTATAGATCCTGACAATAGCGATAGACTAGTCTTCAGTGCGAACGGTGATAAATACCCTTACAGGGGCCGTGGACCCGTGTACCGCAACAATTCTTCTGGCATCGACAGTATCATTGTCGTCGGCAAGTTGCTCGACGCCGGATCCACCGTACTGGATCGCAAAGATCCCGAATGGCGCGGGCGCTTCACCAATGTGGAGAAGGCCTTTATTGAAGCCACTGATGTCAATTGGGATCTCTGCTCAAGAGGTGATTCTCGAGATCGCTTCTGGGCAGTGATGGCAGCGGAGACCGAAAATGTCGGAGTGGGTGTTCAATCTCCTCTCCTTGACATGTGGAATGTGTCAACAGAACACTTCGACCAGTTCTTGTTCACGTATGATGAGCAAACTACGTTTTGCTCTCCGTGCACGAACAGGAATACGAATTCTGCATACCAGAGCGCAACTGTGGCGCCGCCTACATGCCCAGAAGATATGAAGGGAGTATCGATGCAGCAGTTGATCTCTCGTTCATTTGCATCGGAGCACATCAGTCGCTGCGGCAAATGCCAAGATAAAGTGGTGAAGTGTCGGAGAATGCTGCATGGCCTACCTATGCGCTTGACTGTAACTCTTGATGGCAGTGTGCCCGTCAAGAAACACACCAGAGATATCTCCTTCGACTATATTGCGAACGATGGCCAACGTGGAACTGCAGCATACCGCTGGCTAGGCGGGATATATTACAAGGACGACCATTATCGGGTCTATTGGAATGACACTAAGCGGGGAGAAGTCGATACAGGCCAAATTCAAATGTATGATAGTGCCATGCTTTCGGGAATCATCGTGGGAGGTATCGCCCAAACACACAGGGACGACAAAGTACCCGAAACGTGGTGGAAGAACAAGCCTGTGCCGCTCCTCATCTACGAACGCATCATGAATCCAGACGATGAGGTCATGAATGTGGCCTTGCACACGTTAGGCGACATGGTCAAGGTCAGAAACCAGCAGAAGTTGCTCCTCCAGGGGCATATTTCCTGGACCCCCTCAGAACCCCCAAGAGCTCGGGCAGGCTTCCCGTGGAGGCGACTCATTGATCGAAAAGAAGACCGCTTCCACCTGGCGTCAGGCGCTTATGAACCGAAAAGTCAAGACCAGATATCGACGAAGCCTTCAGGCGTTGATCGTCATGCCAACATACCCGGCCCATCCTCAGCTGGCCCATCGAAAACAGATGCCGGATACTTGACGTCTTCGGCAACCGCACCAGAACCACAATTTGAGATAGGAAGGGTATCGCCGTCGTTGTTTGATGCTCCGACTGCTTCTATGTTTGCTGAAATCTCGCCTCTCCTCGCACTTGCCAAGACCCCTTCATTGTCGGGCCTAGAGTCTATTATAGAGGACACCGCGCTGATCAATGAACAGCTCAATGGACCACATCAAGGGCAGTATAGCACGCCCAACAATGTACGAAATAATGCACAGTACGTTACACAATCCAGCTCGCAGCTCCAGGCGGGGTATAACATACAACACACTACGCAGCCAAGTGGAAAGCAACATGGCCAGGCTCATGGGCGATACAACAACAAAAGGACGAATACACAGCACCAGAGCCCGTATAACGCACATTACATTACACAGGCAACTGCGCGGCAACCAAACAGATATAACGCACAACAGCATGCACAGTCAAACGGACAGCATCGGACGGAGTACAATACGCAATACGGCGTACAGCCAAGTACCCATCCTCATGAACCGCATGGCACACTTGATACATCATTTGACCTGCAGGACATCATGAACGACGGACTTTTCCAGGATTGGACTACTGGAGGAATCGATGACTTCAGTCTCTGTATTCCAGAGCTCAGCAACAGCGTATTTGCCTCACCAAAGCCGAATCACGCTAACAGTACGCTCAGCGCTCCAGCTCCCGTCGAAAACAACTTCAAATATTCTCGTCAGGACAGCAACAATGGGGGCCCGATGCCACAGTACATTGATCCTAGTGTTTTGACTACAGTCCCGCAGAATTCATCATCACTACCACTGCAGGACCAGCCGAGGCCTATGGAGAGCCGAAGGCCTGCGTCACACGTTGCACCTGCGGCGGATGCTCGATGGCACAGCCACGGGAATGTAGCTAGCTCCTCCATGTCGGCGAACCAGACACCGCAAGGGTCAAAAAGAAAGAGAGTTGATGGGGCAGAGGCACGGCGGTGTCCGCCGAAGTTGCGTTGACATCGTCTTTGGCATATCTTTTCCTCATAAAACCTTATGTATTATTCATAACTTTGATCGTTCTTTGTACCTTCTCCCATTCCTCCTGTTGAATCATCATTGTAATATCCATAGATTATTTATGCAACGAAAAAGTGGATGATGTAAGAATATTTATTAGAACCCAATAACTGTGATCCAGCAACATCCATATATATCTCCACACCACAACACACCTCAAGTCACCGCCTCACCCAACGTATCCACGCCACACCAGTTTCAACACTAGAATTAAATTAGGGAGAAAGGGGGTCAGTGAGCGGCATTTGCTTCCGGGGAATTCTTTTCCTGTTTAAGCGACGTGAAGTAACCGTTCATTTCCCCATGCATTAAATTTATTTGTTGTCGGGAGGGTCGACCAATGACGGGACGGTTAAAAGTCAGTCTGTGCGATCAGCTTCCCCGCATTTTCTACGTGCCTACGGAGTACTCCAGTTTCTTTTCCTATTATGAATCTCTATCCCTTCCATCTCTCGTCTCTTTCCTCTCCTTCCCAGTCTTCTCATCCTCAGCACTCTCCTACTTTCTTCATTGTTCTTCTGCTTCATCATAACCAGTGATCCCAATGGAAGTACTGTTCGCAAACTTCTAAATCTATTAAACGACCCGTTCTCTATATCCGATCTTCTATCTATGTACAAAGAAATAACAGACAAACACGGAACCGAAATCTACAACCTGGCCATCGGACAACCACCACCGCGTTGTGACAGTCCAGTTGGGACGTTGCTTTTCTTTGGTGCGGAGACGTAGCCGCCCTTGACATTGTCCGAGTTGATGATGACTCCCTTGGCGTCACGCTTGATGCCCAGCTCAATCAGCTTGGCAAACACCTTCGCGAAGTGATCGAAGAAAAGTTCCTTGTCCTGCGCGTATCTCTCCACCCAAACGCGGAATTTCGGATCGGTGATCAACGCAACGTCAGTCGGCAGCATCATCAGCTGCTCATCGCCTTCCTCCGCATCGGGATCCACATATACAAACTGCGCGATACCATTCTCCAGAGTCTTAGGCGTCCACTCAAGCTTAAGGAGCAGGTTATAAAACTGGTTTGAGAAACGGGTCGGGTTGTTCACCCAGGGGCCGTGGAATCCACTCCGATCCATGTGGCAGCGGCCCATGTTGTGTCCTCCCGCCAATGCGACAATTTCTTGGTCGTTGAAGCCCATCCGGTTGAAAATGAAACGCAGGTGCTCGGCACCCTGGGCAGCGTCGGGGAGACGACCACGTGGTGGCACCTTCGAGTCATCAACCAAATCTGTACGGCCCGGCTTCCACGCCACTTCGGGTCCGCCTAGCTCTTTGATCGCTACTACGCCTGCTAATGTCCATAGATCGGAGTATGTGATCCAGGGGTGCCTCTCCTTTACTGGTTCGAGGAAGGCTCGTCCGTGCTGAAGACCGGCGTTGGCTGGGTCGCCACCCTCTGCTTCATACCGCATGCCTGCACCATTGGAACCGCCTGTGTCCGATTCTGCGTCGTATGTGCCTGCGGAGTGCCTAGAGATGATGTGTCAGGTAAGTCGTCCTTTGAGGGAAAGTAGAACGTGGAAGGGAAAAAAGGAAGGGGAAAAGAAAAAGAAAAACTAACCATGCCAGTCGAACAAATACAGGTCCTGCGCTACCATCGTCGTAGCCCGGCTTCTTCAGTTGGGCGACAATGTCCCTCCGTACGGCATCATAATCCCCTGGTGTGCTCATTTCGGCCGATAACTTGTCTGGGGTAAAAGTCGGGTATAGATGTGGGTCAAGAAAAGTCTCAAATGGTGAAATTTTTCAACGCGCTCTGGTGTGAGACAGAGATCCGAGAAGTAGCGACAAAACTTGGTTATAGAAAGAGGAAGAGATTGAAGATGTTGTCAAGGAAGAAATATGAGAGAAGTCTTTCGGTCCAGGAGGCGATGTCTTGCTGGTCGCACATGAAGAGAGGCAATGAGTGGACCCGCGGCACGAATCAATAATTTGACCGACAGTATCAAATGCCGAGGTTCATTCGCTCGTCCCTTTCAGCGTCCTCTACGGAGTACAATGGGGCACTCCCCACGGAGAACCGGAGTATACTACGCTATGAGGATCGTGGATTTTCGATGGAAACAATTAATCGCTGCTACTTACGGTTCATCCCTACGGGTCTACAATGTGTATGAGCTGAGGCGCATTCACCCCAAAAGAATTTTTTCTGGTCAACTCGGACCTTGCGATAACGGAACAAGGGACCTTAAATCGATAAGTAATTTACAGCGTCTTTTCCCTGGCCGGTTTTCGTGATCAAATCCTGCCAGCATCCCGATCAAAAGCCGCCGATACGAAGAACCTCGGAACTTGATTTCCCGACCAGCGAGAACTGGTCCCTGTCTGCCTATCAACTGCTCCATTTCTTCCGTCGCCATAATTTTGTGCGCGAGTTGCGTCAGATAAGCCTGTGATCGCTGTCAGCATTCTGCTTGTCTTCGTCCCTATTATTAAAGCTGGTTCTGGAACGTTGGAAGCATCACAAGATGGATCCCCATACCCAGTTAAGGTTGTCGCCACTCGTCCCGCTGCTGCTGATAACGACGAATTCTTGACTGGCTATCGGCCAAGATCCACACATGTGAATGGTTTCCGTCACCGTATGCCTTCTATATCGAGGCCTCAACATCCACTTCATTTCCACTTTTCTTGTCGGAAGAATGGTTTTTGTGGCACAGCCAGTGTCTACAACTACCCATTCGGCAGGAATTTCTAATAGGATTTCATGGGTTTAACTGTCTCAATTGCTTACAAGCGAGATACGGAGGAAAGCACCTTCACCGATTCGTTTCTTCTAGGGTCGCATCGGCCTCTCTGCCTAACAGCTTCTCTCTTTCGACCCGTGACCTAGACAACTCATATTTCCATCTCAGTGCTGCCAACTCCCTTGTCGCACCATCAAAATTGCCGCTCACCCTCTCCAATCGCTCCTTCCACTCCCTGTAGGCTACTTCGGAGTGTTTCACTAGGCCTTCAACTTTCCGGCGCATCCACTTTCTCTCCGCTCTCCAACGTCGTTCGCGCTGGCGGTACCGTTCTAAGTCTTGCTGCAGCCTTCGTTGTTCCAATCGCTCGGTGCTCTTAATGCTGGTGATGAAATCATGAATAGGCCTTGTATGTCTGGCGCTCAGCGTGCCGCAAGAAAGCTGCTTGGAGATGCAGATGAAGGCGGCCAAAATATCGTCTGCGATAGTTCGTAGGAGGCTGGACTTTGAGACCGATGAGAGACCTTCTAGGTTCTGAAGGCGCATTGCGCAAGAGCCTGGAGTAAACCAGGGCTCAGTAGCCGGCATTTTAATGGCTTTTCTATCAAAGGTGAGACTGTAAACTCCGGATGGAAGATTGATCAAAAAAGCTCGTAAAATACAAGGTAATATGCAGGTAGGTTTCATAAATAGTATCTGTAGAAACTAACCGCACCTATAGCATACCTAGGATAGAAGCAAATGGATGATATCGCTAAGATTCACTCTACGTTGATCAAAGCTATGTCTTTAACTTAACCTTTTGTTTGACCAGCTAGGAGCTGCATGGACAAGCTCAAAGAGCTTATCATGCATCGATCAGTCAACAAAGACGTTTCTACTATTCATGGCGATAAGCAAAGAGAACAATCTCGTCCGAACCAAACACTTAGATAGTAGCACCAGAAGAGACAATCAACAAAGCCCTACTACAATTTCTCCCCACGTAGCACAGCTACAATCGCATCACCCACCTCTGTCGTCCCAGCCTTTCCACCCAAATCCGGCGTACGGATGCCGGAGTCTAGAACAGTTCTCACGGCCGCTTCGATTTGCTTTGCTTCACGCTCCATATCCAGAGAGTACCGGAACATCAGCGCCACGCAGAGAATCATAGCAACGGGGTTAGCGATGTTCTTGCCGGCGATGCTATCAACCTTTAGCTGGAACTTCGAGCAATATCTCTGTTGGGATTTTAGGAAACCATGAGAAAACTTACGTCGGCGCCGATCCATGTGTAGGTTCATACAACCCATTGGTCCTCCTCCGGGTCTCAGATGGCAGCCCATCCAAGCTCGCACTCGGCAATACGCCCAACGTTCCAACTATCGAACCCGCCTGGTCAGAAATCATATCGCCAAAAGTGTTATCGGCCAGAATCACGCCGTTCAGCACGCGCGGGTTCGTGGCCAGAATCAACGACGCGGAGTCCGCTAGCTGATGTACCAGTTTCACCTGCGGATACTCCTCTGTCATGGTTTTTTCAACGACGCGGCGCCAGAGCCGTGAGGATGCGAGCACGTTAGCCTTATCCAGTGAGATGACGGGCCACGGGGGGTCGTGGCGCAGAGCCAGTTCAGCAGAGAGACGGGTGATGCGCTGAATTTCGGAGGTTGAGTAGGCCCATTCGTCCATTGCTTTTACCCCATTAGCATAGCGCTTCGATAGATAGTAGTAAAGAGGGAAAGGGAGGGTATATAGAAGAGTAGAGATCCTGTACCATAATCATCCTCCTCCAACTTCCTGCCAAAATACGCTCCCCCACAATTCTCTCTCACAACCACGAAATCCACGCCCTCAATGATCTCCTGTCGAAACGGACTAAACTCTCTCGCAACACTCCTACTCGGCGAATCCGCCGAGCAAGGCCTTAAATTGGCATAGATATCCATCGCCTTCCGCAGCTGTAGCAACCCACCCTCCGGCCCATCCAGTCCCTTCCGCATATTGTCCCATTTCGGACCGCCAACGGCAGCGAACAGCACCGCGTCTGAAGCGAGAGCGGCTTCTTTGACGGCATCCGTGATCGATTTGCCATGGAGATCGATGCTACACCCGCCGATGAGTTCCGAGCGAGTATTGAACTGCACGTCAGATGTGTTGAAGGCGGAGAGCACTTTGGTGGCCTCGGCCATTATCTCGGGACCGATTCCATCGCCAGGGAGGATGAGGATGTTGTAGGTTTTTGCTATGGTCATGTTGGTA